TGTGTTTGCAAAGAGTTGCTTTTACTTAATGGTTTTAAGATTCTTGCAAACTGAGATGAGGCCTCAGGTTAACACAGAGCATGTATTGTGAATTAAAATGCTTATAATGGAGCAAGTGCAGGAAAAAAAGGGCAGTGTATCTGTCCCGTTTGCATCTATGGGAGTTATAACTGATATCAGACCTGTAGCTGTGGTTTTGGGGAGCTGGGAGTAGCAGATCCTCAGCCCCTGAGCAAAATACTCATCCTCGTAGGAGCACTTAGACTGTAAATGTTGTCTGAGTCAGTTGATGCTTGAGCTGCTTCCATAGCTGCTTACTAAAAACCTGGCATTTCCAATGTTTCAAAATCTATCATCTGTCAACTACCTGCATCGTGGAAACCTGGGACTGAGCTAGTGTGGGACTCTGATACTTGTATGTAAATGTTGAGTTGGGGCATTCAGTTGTTTTTAGTAAGACCATGAATTTTATATTGAAAAATATTATAACCAGTTTGTAGTTGAAGGGGAGCAAATTGTGTTTAACTTTGAAAGGTTTGGGGTTTTTTCATCCTTTTCTTGCACTCTGTATTGTTCTCCTGGCACAGATGTCTTGCTGCAAAAGCAGCGTTCTTTTCTAGACTGCTGGCTATACATATATAATATCGTATATATCTTTTATCATATATATGATTAAAGGTTTGGCGGAGGGACTGAATGATGTATGCTTGTGTTGCTGTAAAACATACAAATTCAGCTCACTTTCAAATCTTGAATACAGCTACATTTTAAATAAGTAGGTTGGTATTTTATACTCATATGTTACTGAAGATACCCTCCTCTTTCCAGTGTAACTGAACAGACATATTGCATTAGGGAGGCCATCCTCCTGGGGTCCTTGATCATCCTGTCACTTTTCTCTTCAATAAATTTATTGATTTACTTGGGTTGAAGAGAACGTAGGTGTGTAAGGACGCTGCAGGAGAGCACAAAGAGGTGTCTGAGTTCCAGGTTGAGAGCACCACACACCTGAATTGACCTTCATGCCTTTGGACATCCTTTGCTGGCATTTTATCCCAGAGAAGGAGGCTTCTGGCACTCTTTCTTAGATATGCTTTTGTTTGTGTACTAACTTCGTTATCTTATCTCCATGGATGTTAGAGCCTACTGATGTAAAAGGCAATATGCTGATAACACTCTGAAGAGCAAAGAAGAGTGAAAGAGAAAGGCTGGGGGTTGCAAGGGTTGGAAATGGAAAATCGTTTATTCAAGGCTCCTTATACAAATTGTGTTTTTTGCTTGGGGACAGAAACTAACAGATTCTGGAGGTTTCTGAGAGATAGAATGGTTCCCTTCAGGAAAGCATGCGTACAGAGGCATTTGCTGCAAGGTGGTGGCACCGTTGGTGTTCGTGCCTGGGGTAGTAGGTGACACCCACGACACCCCTTTCCCTAGCGAGTCCATTGCCTCCTGTGCTCGCCTGTTCCTCAGCGTAACGTGCTGCGCTGATCCGTCTCCTTCCACCAGGATCCCTGAACATCCCAGCCATGGCTAAAGCCCTTGGCTGCTTTTCTGCTCTCACTGCTTAATGAAATTCATTCATCCTTGTCCATCCTAGTATGAATTTTGTATATTTGTAAGACACGTAAGAGTCATTTCTCTCTTCAGTTTCGTTTCTGTGAGCTGGTCAGGTCTTCTAATCTACTCTTGTGGGGCAGATTGTTTTCTCCTGAAATCTTGGGTTTTTTTATGCCTCACCTTTGAATAAGTCTTTCTGTCTCTTCAACAATAATAACAGTAGCTCCCAACACTTTAAGTTTGATGTAAGGGTGGAGGAGAGACGCCGCTGTGCCCATACAGGACCCTCTCCGTGACAGTGCCTCCTTACTTGTGCCTACAAGTAACGTAATGTACATCACACTGTTTGTGTGAAGTTCACCTCTGAACTGTGAGTACTTAGCAGCATCTGAGCTCCTGGATACTCTTTTTATTTAATTTATTTTATAAAATATTTCATTTATTTTAATATAAATATAAAATATTTAATATAAATACATTTAATTTAAAATAAAATAAATATTTAATATAAATATAAAATAAATAAAACAAATGGTTTAATTAATTTTCACCATCATGTCCAGGGTAATTTAATAAAGATCTGCCCATGAGATGACTCCAGCTCCGCGTGCCCCAGCTGCGGAGCTAACCGCGCTCCTGCAAGCGTTGCACCCCGTCCGGATCCAGGGCAGAGCAAGTGGTTTGGAAATCTGCTTCCGTACTCCGCTTGTAACCAGTGTGAAGCCTCAGTCCTGTAACAAGACATGTGCCCTCTTAAACATACAAGGGATCCCACTGAACACAAACTGTAAAACACTGTAAGAAACATATATATTTGTTTTATGTTTAAAAACTGCTTGGTAGCCACTGCTGTGAAAAATATATCAAAAAAAGAGGAAATTGGACATTAGGTTTATCGCATGCTGTAATGGAAACCATTGCATTGAAATAGTCGTAGCTTTTGGATAATATACAAGCTTATTTTCTCAAGTGAAAGCACTTTCACATGAGAATTAAAAAAAAAAAATCTTGGTTTCATGTGAGGGGCTGGGGTTATTGTGTGGTTCCCCCAGCGTTAGTAGAGGAGGTCTCTGAGCAGCACTGTGCTTTCCAGTGTGCAGTTCATCTCTCTGAGTGGCTGTTATCTCTTGAGAAATACTTAAGTGGTCGGTGTCCTGTGGTGGAGAGTTTCACAATATCTGCTGCAGCCTGCCCAGATGAAAACTGATTCTGTGCTACTATTTCAGGTCAGGGAGTAATTCCAGTTCAGTGGGTTTATCTTCCATTCTTCTGATTTCTTTATTATATAATTGCAGAGCAAGCTGGCTTCGTATCAGCTGGCCTCGTGTCAGCTGGCCTGTGTGATAAAACTTAGTAATAAATACGTAGACTGTTGAATTTATTGTGCCCGTTAAGTGACTTTCCAGGAGATGTCTCTGTTAATGGCCCAGCATGTGTGAGGTGGCCGTGTGGGCTGGTGGATGGGGGAGAGCGCGTGGGCAGAGCGGCCACCCCGGCGCCTGCGCTTGGGAGAGCGGCGGCGCTGCGCTCAGGAGTGACAGGAAAGAGAGGGAAGGGCTGCGGTGCTCCAGCAAACAACTGTGAGGGGCGAACTTCTTATGAGGTGTTTTGCTCTGGATATTTAGTCTGTAATCTAGTGTTCGTGTGTAGATACCCCAGGTTTTCTCACATTCGCACAGCATGGTGCTCAGTTGGTGAGTGTTGCAGTAGGCACCCGCCGTGTTTCTCTCTGTGTGATCTGCGTGCAATGGCAAGCGGTAACGTCTGCTGATCCTGAGGACGTCCCCGCGCCAGCGCCCGGCGGAGCCCGTGCACACGGGGAGCGGGCACCGCGCTGCGTGTCGCCTGCCCTCGTGCCTGCGGGGCCCGGCGCGTGAATCGCCCCGTTTTGTAAACGGGAAAGCAGTTCCCAACTCCCCTCTCGCTGCCCTGTGAGCAGCGTTCTCTGCTTGACACGTTAAAAATGTTGGGAGTATCGTTAATTGTTTTCTTTGGCTATAAATCTGGGAGCAAAATGATTTAAATAGACTCGAGAAGGGGGGAGAACCTCAAATAAAAAGGTACTTACATTTATTGCATTTTGCAGGGTCATTTTCGGGAACAACGCACCTCTCTTGAGACTTTGTTTCTTATCCATTTTATAGAGCTCTCGCCTCTTAACAGCACTGCCTTAATGACTCCGTTTTGGGGTTCAGAGTTGGTGTCAGTGCTTGCCCTGAAAACAAGCCTGGTACAAAGAGGTCAGGTTTCACAAGACAGCGATAGACTTGTAAAAACGGATTTTACTCTTCACAACTAAAGTTAGAATTAAGAAGAAACCAAAGATACGCGTAAAGAGTAAGCTACAGAAGGAACAAGTATTCAGCTAAAATGAAAAAAGGTGTATAAATTGAAATGGATTGGGAGATAAACAAGGGTGTGTGTGTGTTATTTCGCATTTTGAAAACCACCCTTAGCATCCTTAATGAGATTTTTTTTTTTTTTTCCCCCTATAATTCTGACTTGCTATCTTGAAGATTAAATTTCTGAGAAAATAACTTGTTCCTGCCAGGATGTGTTTGTTGTTGTTGTTGTTTGTTTGTTTGTTTGTTTTGTTTTTAATCAGCTTTAGTTAGTAACTTTCATTGGATCCCTTTAAATAGTGAAATAGTGTAACTGAATTCCTGAGTTTCTCTTCTGGTGCTTGAGAGCCTCACTCTGTCGTTTACTCTTCAGTGTACAGGATGCATGGGAATAAGTCATTTTATTTACCTACATTCTCCTGAAAACTGAATATTAGGTTTTTGTGTTCGGAGTGTGACTCTTTAAATAACCTTGTCAGTGTAAAGCAATTCTGGGTGTGATTCTATAGTCTTTACTGAGGCCGAATGTTGAAACACGGTGCTTTTGGGTGTCCCAGGCACGTGGTACAGCTGTGCTGCAGGACAGCTCCAAAACCTCTTTGCACTAAGTTGATTTGTGTTGTCTATAGTGTTATCTGTGACTTTATAACATTCCTAGAGATTTTATTCAAAAAGCCAAGCAAACTTGTCTAGTTTGCTACAATATCAGCCTTTCAGAAAAGCTTGATCAATGCAAAGCACCGCATTTTCTGTTGTAAAAATCCTGGGGGGGCGGGGGGGTGCCGGCGTCGGGCGGGGCCATCGGCAGCTGCGGCCACAGCAGCTCTGGAGGGGTCCCCGGAGCCTCCTGCCAGAGCCGGGGTCCAGGGGCCATGTGTCTGCATCGGGTGGCAGCTGGTGACTGGGCCGGACAGGGCAGCTCTCCCAAAGCCCTCCTTAGCAAGGAAACCCGTCTGCCCGCGAGGCTGCAGCGCAGTGACGCTGCAGGCTGGATGGGAACACGTGCTTTTCTCTGACAGGTTGTTCAAACCTGGAGCTTGGTTTACCCAGGAATTTTCTCTTCACATTAGTTCTTTGAATTCTTCATTCTTTCATTTTTAGCCATTTCTGCCTTTGAAGTCCAGCCACTTTCAGCTGAAGTCCAAGAAGGTGGAGTAGCTCGATTTGCCTGTAAGATAACAGCAAGCCCTCCTGCTGTCATCACGTGGGAGGTGAATCGGACAGCTTTACCTCTAGTCATGGACAGGTATGTAGGCCTGCACATGTGGGGGTGCTGTTTATTTTCTGTAATGATTTCGAGCCAACTATAAGCAAATTACCTGTATGAGATGCAGAATATCTGGACTTTGGCTGTGGGAACAGTTTGAGCCCATAAAAGAATTGATGCTGAACATATTTTTCTTTACAGAGCTGATAAAGAATTTTATGTGCAGAAAATCGAGTTGAAACACTTAATGCTAGGGGCATTCACTGAGAGGGACTTCTCTCTTGAATCTTAGCTTGACATGTGCAGCCTGCTCCCTGCAAGGTCCTCTCCCTGTCCAGAGCATTGAACCTGCTTCTTTCCTTCTTAGCATGCAACTTTTCTTGACTATGTTCAAGATACCTAGCATGCAACAGAAAAAGAAAAGCATAAAATTGAAAACACTTCTTTTTTTTTGGTGGGGAGCAGAGCCATATGCCTTTTTTGTGCCAGTATATTGGAAATTACTGCCAAAAAATGATCCAACCTGCATAATGTGACTCTATTAGTTGGCTAAAGAGGGTTGGAATGGTTGCTTCTGAGAATGAGAAAAGATTTGCTGATTAAAAGTAAATTCCAGTGCCCTCGTGGAGGAATCAGTGCAGGGAGATGAGTCACGGGTAGAGGATGCTTTTGAGAGACCCCAGCCTGCTGCTGCAGCTCAGTGCAGCAAGGCCTGTTTGTAGATGAAGCAGTCCTCGCCGTGGCTGTGTTTGCCAGGTGAGCATTTATCTACGTTTCTTTTCTGTTTCCGTGGCAGGGTAACGGCTCTACCCACAGGAGTTCTGCAGATCTACGGTGTCGAGCGGAGAGATGCTGGGAATTACCGATGTGTTGCCACAACGATAGCCAACAGGCGTAAAAGTGCCGAGGCAGTGCTGAGTGTTATCCCAGGTAGCCAGCCTACGACATGCTCAGTGGCACTATAGTCGTCTTTATAATACAGTAAAAGTGTTTACATGCAGTGAACAGCTCTACCTGTTCTGTGACACATTCACTTGGGAATAATAATTTTGCTTCCTCATATCTTGTTAAAAAAAAATATTTGGTATAACTTATCAGAATTAAAGATTTCTTTTTTGCAAATTTAAACATCCTTTTAAAAATTGTCACATGTTATTTCAAGTTTAATTTCTTTTGTTTAATTTCTGTTTTTTTTTTTTTTTTTCAAAGCATCTGACTTGAGGCCATTTCACAAGCCAGCTATAATAGCAGGTCCTCAGAACATTACAGCGTCCCTTCATCAGACAGTCATACTGGAGTGTGTTGCCACAGGGAATCCAAAGCCAATCGTCTCATGGAGCCGGTTAGGTAAGTCTTAAACTTCTAGCACGCAACCTCCAAACTGCAGAAAGGAAGTAAAAGGGGAAAGGAAGGATTTCAGCAATTAGTTTACAGTTCTGGGACTTCATGTAGTAGGTGGTGGTTAGTAGGTTGGCACAGGATAAGTGAGAGAGTGCTCAGGGCTCGCACGTGTCCTGCAGTCCATCCTACACTGCCCCCAGCACGGTGCCCACCCGAGACTCAAGGTAGAAACTGTGGTGAATTAAAGGACTTGGTTGCATCCTGCAAAATGTTCCTTTAAATGTTTCTCCCTCTGTTCTTCTTAGCAACACATGAATGGGATTTGAATGCTATATAAATGGGCCGTTTGGTCTTCTGATAGCCACAGTCAGACACCTAGCAGTCTGAGTGGAAGGGGAAAGAAAAGAGGACGTGCAATAAGAATAATAATCTTGTCAGCCAATTCTGTGAAAATTGTCTCAGTTATGACAAATATCTCAGGAAAGTCAGGGCTTTACCAGTAGGTGCAAAACATCAAATATTTTCTTACATTTTATTCTGAAAGTAGAAAAAATACATGTGTATTTCTTGGTTGATGCAATGATTCTTCTAGACAGAGAATCAGGAAAAAAGTAGCATACAGTCCACTTTGAAAACTCATCTGTGATCTCCCTTGATATCTCTTGACTTTAAAACCCTAATCCGTCATGGCCATTCTGGCAACCATGTTGAGACAGGCTGTTCAGGTACATCCAGCACCCTCGTAACCCGCCTTCTCTCACTCTTTCAAAATAGACCATAAGTCCATTGATGTTTTCAATACCCGTGTCCTTGGAAACGGGAACCTGATGATCTCGGACGTGAAGGTGCAGCACGCCGGAGTGTACGTCTGCCGAGCCACCATTCCCGGCACGCGGAACTTCACGGTGGCGATGGCAACTCTCACTGTGCTGGGTGAGCTGGCTGCGAGCAACTCGGGGTGCTCAGCACCCGCTGTGGTCTGCACTGGGCTGCTCTTTTAATTTTTTGTTTCATGTATTTATTTATTAAAATCTCAAGCGTAATAAATGAAGCGTAATGACTGTGCAGAGGTCAAGAAGATGAAACAGATGATAGAAATGTGGCTGCCTTCTGCTTGTTGACTTAGATGAAGAGTGTCAAATACTTGGCGTTTGGGAGTTATGAACTAGCAGTTTGTTTGCACTCAGAGATAGCCGGGTGCAATGTTTGCTCTGGAAAGACAGATTTTTCAACAAGCAAAGCGATCCTATGACTAAGTATTTAAATATGTAAGATACACACAGCCTTTGTGTCATAGACTGGAATGGTTATTTGTGTATTTTCATAACTGCATGAAGAAAAATGTGTATAAATGTTACTTTCTGTGCAAGTAATACATATTTTTTAAGACACTTTGTCTGCATGAAGCACATGTGCTTATTGCACAGATATGTCTCTGTGTTTTCCAAGTGGCCTGAGCAGAGAGGCATGTGTGTGGGAAATGCTTTATTCTGGAATAAAAGGCTGGCTTTAATAAATATAATTTAGCTATAAATATGGCTTTAATGAATAAAGCCATAAATATGGCTTTAATAAATATAATAAATATAATAAAGGCTGGAATAAAGGTTCTCCTTTTATTTATATGGGCTTGATTTTTGCCTGTTACTTCCCTGTAGCTCCCCCTTCGTTTGTGGAATGGCCGGAAAGTTTAACAAGGCCTCGGGCTGGCACTGCTCGTTTCGCCTGTCAGGCAGAAGGAATTCCAGCCCCCAAGATTTCATGGTTGAAAAATGGAAGGAGAATACACTCAAATGGTAGAATAAAAATGTACAACAGGTAAGGTTATTATCAGTGCATGACAGTCGTGCTTGAACAGTATGCAGAGTTAAGAGCTTTTACTGAAGGATGAAATTCCTGTAAATAAATAAAGCTAGACAGATAGAAAGATATAATTCAAGTAATCTTAAGTAAAATTGGACATTAAATGTAGCACTATAGATCTCTCCCAGGGTAAAGGAATGCAGATTAGTCAATACCCAAAATCCTCAGAGGACCTTTAGTGATCTTTGCCCTACCTGGAGGAAACTGAAATGATTTCACCACTTTCTGAGAAGCTACTGTAGATTTGCAGGAGTGTAGCAGGAATCTAACCAGTTGTTTGAGACGCCGCTTCAACTGCTTTCGTAGACTAAGCAGCTCATACTAAAGATTTTTAAAGAAAAGGACAAGTGAAAAGTAACAAACTAAGAAATGACAATACTAAGGTTGTGCTTTTTGCAGGGGGAAGTAGATTTATAGTTTTGTTTTGCCACTGCCTGGCTTTAAGGGTGTGAAGGTGAATGCTGACATGGCAGGTTCGGAAAAGCACTTCCGGTTGGTAAATTTCACAACTGCACAACGGTTTCTAGGTGGAAAGAAATATAAGTAGAGTGTGAGTCACTTAGAATAAACTCACAAAGCCTCAGAGACAAATACATAATTGTGGTTGTGTTGTATTGGGCTAAGTTATTCAAAAGTTGACTTTTTTCTTCTTCTTCTTTCCTTTTGGATTCAGTAAACTGGTGATTAACCAGATCATTCCTGAAGATGATGCCATTTATCAGTGCATGGCTGAGAATAGCCAGGGCTCTATTCTGTCCCGGGCCAGACTTACCGTGGTCATGTCAGAAGACAGACCCAGCGCGCCCTATAACGTGCACGCCGAAACGATGTCCAGTTCCGCCATCCTGCTCGCATGGGAGAGGCCCCTGTATAATTCAGACAAAGTGATTGCCTACTCTGTACATTACATGAAAGCAGAAGGTAAGCAGTGCTTGATATAAAGTGTGCCTGCATACTTTTTCCTTATGCATGATAAGAACTTGTATGGCCTTGCAAACCCTGCCAGATGTGAACAGCTGGGGCTGCATCAGGCCATACCTATATAAAAACCCATGTGGTTTACAGCAAACTCACTTAGGGAAATAAACTTTTGCCAAATCATCTCTCATGGGGCTGTGTTCCTCCATTGCACCCTCATCCGATCTCTCCAGCGAGCAGATTAGAGTGAGGAAATGATCTCTAAAATGGGGAGGGACCTCTGTGTTCCTGGCCAGACTTCCTCCGTGTCTTCAGCAGAGCATCTGCCTGCTCTCATCCACACGCGTGCTTGGGGCAGCACTGCCAGCGCAGCATCGAGTGTCTCGCTGCATTCAGCTGTCTTGTCTACATCCATGAGGTCTTTTCCTATATTTGAAAGCATAAACAATTGAGACTTCACTGGTTTAACTCTTGTCTCTTGGACTCTCAGCTAAATGAGATAATTTTGCTCTGCTTTTCCCCCTTCATTTTTATAACCAAAGAATATACTAGGTATTAAAATATGTTGAAACAGCCACGAGCACTTTGTTCCAGTTTGAAATGTTATATATTTTTCTATGTAAAAGGAAATAGCTAAGCAGGATAAAAATGAACAACTAAACTTTTTAAATCATTTTTACTATTATGTCATGTCTTTAAGTTAGGGGAATCTTCAAGAGGATCAAAAGCTGAAATATTTCATAAACAAAATCAGTGACTGTGAAATGATTTTGAAATTTGCTAGGTGCATGGTTTGAAGAGAGGAGATACATCTCCTCTGAGCTGCAGCTCTGTTTTTCAGTTCCCCCCCCCCCCCCCCCCCCCCCCCCACTTCTATTCACTAACTAGTTTATTCAAGGACGGGGCTGCAGATGCTCAGCTCTCGGCGAGGAATACCAGTCTGCCATCTGCTAAGCAGAGCACAGGAAGGACAGCTTAATTACTCTAATACTGATGCAGGAATAGCTGCCTTTGCTTTTGCAAGTGGGATTTTTCAGGACACAAGAGAATTTTGTTTGAGCGAAGGAAGGAAAGAATTTTAAAAGATAATGAGGACGAGAGGTGCGGGAAATTACCCCCAATGCTTTCAGTCACCAAGGTATTGTGCTCGCAGCCCCACTCAAAGCTGATATGAATAAAGTCACACTAGATAAGCGAGCTGGGTAATTGTGTGTCCCATGCCAGTGCAGTGAGCAAAGCCGGGCAGCTTTGTAGGGAACGAGGCAAGTGCCTTAGAGAAGGAAGTACTCCTGCAAAGTATGGAGGGATCTTCTGCAAAAATTGTGTTCTGTAAAACTATTGCTCAACCCCTGCTTCACTTCCTTGTTTATCCAAAAGTTTTATCTTGTGCAGTGAGGTTGTAGCTTGTTTTGGAACAACCCAAACCCTGTGTTATTTGAGCTTGCTGTCAAAAATCCCCCTTTTTTCCCTCTTTCCAGGCTGTCTTGTGATATTTACTTTTATTTTAGGTAAGGTGGTTATGCATCCTTTCATATCAGTAAAGAACTCCAAGCTGGAGAACTGGGGAGGACTAATGCACCAGCAAATCTGCATCAGGGCATAGAAACACTTTTGTTGTCTTCTGTGTTACTGAAAAAATGGCATGGTTCAAAGACTAGTGGATTGCATCTCCTGCAAAAATAGTTGTTTTCTACACGGTAGACTGTGAACATCTTTGAGAGTGTTAGGCACATGTTGGAGGGTGTTATAGAAAAACTAAAAGTGTGTGGTGTCATATGAGTCAGTTTTGTAATGTTAAATGCAGAACCAGCTTCGTTTAGAGAAAAACAAATATTGAATCAAAAGTTTTTCCTTTCCCGTAAGAAGACATGGGCACCATCGTCTAGTGCTAACATAGACTGGTGACATTGTCAATGCCTTGTTTGCTCTGTAAGATTCGGAATATTTAGGTATTCCTGTAAATAGTCCCTATGAATATACTGCTGACATTATTTTCTTCAGTCTGCCTTTCCCCGTCTACCCTCACAATTTGTTTGAGTCCCTAATGATTGTTAATTTATATCTTGGTGTCACAAAAGATCCGCTTAAAGTTTGTAGTGCGTGTAACCTTTCTCTTTATACTTTTTATATTGATATATTGCTCTTATTTATATTTAGAAAACTCATTTGTCAGTATAAATGAGTTAGCAACCCTTCATTGTAAAAGAAAATCTAAACCAGTGCTTGCTAAATCTCCTGAGTTATACTGATGCCTGTGATCCCATAATCTGTACAGAAGGAAAGTTGCAATAATGCATTCATCTCATGCAGTTCCAGAGACTTTTCTCTGAAGTGTGCATGTGGTAGGTGCTTTGAATACAAAAGGTACTGTCATTTATCATTTAATTTCACAACTCAAGTATTCAGATGGCCTCACTGTAAAAACAGGTTCAGGCCCTCATTCCTATTAAAAAAAAAAAAAGTTAATGTTTTAATAAAGTTGGTTGAAGAACCTAACAGGTGTTTTTTTGTATTTTTCTTCTTTTTTTTTTTTTCCTTTAAGCAGAATATTTTACATTCGAATCAGGGTCATAGTAGCAAGAAGAATAAGGGTCTGATGAGCGTGCATGTTGGAGTGTGTTAATTCCTTGTTAGTGATTTAGGGGAGGCACAAAAGGGACACTGATTGTGGTGGAAGGGCAGCCTTGTTCTCTATTATGGCTATTTCATTAGGGCCCCTGCATGAGGCCTAGCAATCCTTTCAATGAGAGAACAAGTCCTTTTAATTTGAGCTCAAGGATCTTGTTTAGCAGGTCAGAAATCGTGCCTTGCAATTCCTAATTAACAAGCCATTAACTAGTCTGTTGTGAGATGCTCGTAATCTTGTCTAATTAAAATGCTATCAAGTTAATTCATAAATGTGGGAAAACTTAATGGTGGAATTTGCCTTTCGTTTTGTTTATAAATTCGGTTGTGAAGAGGAGGAGCTGGCTCTTACAGAGTTTTGATTAAGTTGACGTGCATTTGGTGTGAATTGTTCGTTAACACAGCAGCTTTCACCACACTTATTCCACTTTATAGCCTTCCTCTATAGGGATAAAGCCCAACAAAGGCAAGGACTGCTGCATACATTGCTATGCATATCTTAATGTGAATTGCTGAGAATTTTTTTAACAACTCATTAAGGAGCAAAACATTTTCGAAGCTCTTTCTGGGCCGTTCCTATTGCCCTCTCTCTGAATTAAAGAAAAAACCATGTCAATCAAGCGTAATAGAATTTGCAGGGCTAAAATGAGATCCTTTTGCTGAACAACTTCTCTCTGTTTGTTTTGTTTGTTTTTTGTTTTTGATAGAGTGGAGCCCTCGCATTCCTCCCAGTCTGCTATAGGAAGGCTCTGCAAATAGGTTTTGAGAAAAGCCCTGACTCTAAACAAATAGTTTTAAAGGTTTGCTATGAATGATAAGACTATTAGGGCTTGTCTGTTGTGTTACTGTACATTGGGCACAGTTTGTTGTGACTAATTCTAAAAAGGGGTTTAGAATTGCATTCAGCATCCCTTATTCAGGAAAATGCTGAAACACCACAATCTCTACCACAGCAAGACACAGTTGCTCCTGTGCATAAAAGAGCTTTTACTTTGTAGGGCTAAAAAAATAGTGAGAGCTAGGCTGGAGAAGAGCATGAAATAACCTGATAAGCTCTCGAAGACAAGATGGTTTGATGTTTGGAGATTGCCAGCAATTATTAATTATATATTTTTTCTTAACGTTTGTGTTATGTCAGGTTTAAACAACGAAGAGTACCAAGTGGTCATTGGAAATGATACAACCCATTACATTATTGATGACTTGGAACCCGCCAGCAACTATACATTTTATATTGTCGCCTATATGCCTCTGGGAGCCAGTCAGATGTCAGACCATGTGACTCAGCACACCCTTGAAGATGGTAAGACCAAAAAGATTGTCTAAAATTAACTTTTTTTTTTTTTTAGTGCTTGCACTGAGATGTGCAATCTGGTACTGGAAATTATTGAGGTTCCCAAATTCCACTGACGTTGGTGAAACTTCTGGCTGCACACGGTGGGAAACTTGTTACATCAAGTGCCCTTTTTTACATTGAAATAATATTAAATTACTTAAATGACTACTCTATATCTTTGCAAACTTTGCTGTAGTCTAGGATTTTGCTCTACTCAATTTTAATGCTAGGTAAATTAAAAGCTTTTTGACTCTGGCAGCAGAAAGCTTCACTGCTTCTGCATAGATGAATGTGATGTTCTCAGGCATCTGAAATGCAAATCAAACTGCACACCCAATTGCATTGCCTTCAACTTTTGAAGGAAAATTTTGACATACCAAAAAGTTAAGGTATTTTTAATTGTTAATGTGTATATACTTGTTACCAAAACCAGTATTTCAGAAAGATTACATAAACTATCTCTGCTCAGTGATTTAGCTAACCAGAACACAGTGGCAACAACAAACTCAGAAAGATTACATAAACTATCTCTGCGCGGTGATTTAGCAGAACACAGTGGCAACAACAAACTGTTTGGGGCAGTTGGTTAGAGGTAACTAGCAGGTTGTGTCAGTGCTGACTTTGGCAGGGTGAAAGGCTCCCACTTCCACCTGTCTCGTTGCCAGGAGTTACTGCCATGTAAAATGGTTGGCAGAAGGAGACACACAGCAGCTCTTCAACACTGCAGGTTGTTGTCCAGCCTCCCAATTTAAGCTACAACATCTTAACTTTAACAGTCACTCTCGAAACCGTGAGAGTACCATCAGTTACTGCTGGCAGGAGTGAGAGGATGGTGGGGAGGGTCTTACAAGGAGGAGTTTGCTAAATCTATATTGTGTGTAGAAGGTAAGAAGTATGAGATCCCCAAAACAAGCAAGAGTCTGAAAGCCCTCTTGGGTAATATACACATATTGCTGGTACCTCAGTGTAGATTTAGGTGTCAGATGTAAATTTTACATCTCTCTCTTCCCTGAGCTCAAAAATTTTGTCCTTTTTCTTTCTAGTTCCCTTGAGAGCTCCTGAAATCAGTCTGACAAGCCGGAGTCCTACGGATATTCTCATCTCTTGGCTGCCAATCCCAGCAAAATACAGGCGAGGCCAAGTGGTCTTGTACCGTTTGTCTTTCCGTCTCAGCACCGAGAGCAAAATCCAGGTGCTGGAGCTTCCCGGGACGGCGGACGAGTATCTCCTCGAAGGCCTGAGGCCCGACAGCGTCTACTTGGTTCGGATCACTGCTGCGACGAGGGTTGGCTGGGGAGAGGCGTCGCTGTGGACTTCCCACCGGACTCCCAAGGCTACGAGTGTGAAAGGTAACTCTTGCATTACCGGCAGCCTGGGAATGGGGTCAACTGTAGGTTTTGACCAAAGGCTACACTTTTTTTCAGACAAGTAGTATAAGAATTTGAAATAGATTTTCCTGTTACACATACTGGCTTTGGTGATCCAGAGAATAGTGCTGTAACCATCATTCTGTATATAATTTGCACAAACTTGTAGTTCCTGTAATAATTTAAATGCAGTTAATATGTAGTTTCAGGCACACAGATTGGAGAGGAGCTAATCTATTTTGTGCAAGACCTGACATGTGAAGTAGAAGCAAAAGTGGATGCATTATTTTGTGTTTACTTTGATTCCTTACTCATGTTAATGCTCACATATTTGACATGGCTGCTGTGTAAGTCAGGCTAGCTCCTCTCATAAAGAAATAATAATGCAAGCACCCAGATGATCTGGAATGAAACCCTTGAGTAAACTTTGGAGTGACAGAAATCCGGATGGAACATGGAAGTTATTTGTTTCTAGAATATAAAAATGTTATGTATGTTCCTCTAAAACAGCACCTAAGTCTCCTGAGCTGCATTTGGAACCGATGAACTGTACGACCATAACAGTACAGTGGCAGCAGGACTCTGAGGACACTGCAACTATTCAAGGGTACAAGTTATATTACAAGGAAGAAGGTCAACAGGAGAATGGACCAATTTTGTTGGATGCTGGCGATCTGGAATATACTGTCAGTGGTTTAGGTGAGTAATAAAATATTTTTAATTTTGGAAGAAAAAAAAAAGGGTATCTGAAGAAGCTTAAATCTTACTTGAGACCTATAAGACAAAAATGTTACGTTTGGCTATTTTGCCAGCAGTGAGCTATGCAAGCATAGCTGTGTTATTGATGGAATCATCTTAGCCTTAGAGATGCTGCATGACACCTAGATGACCAGATTGTACAAACTTTATATAAATTGGAAGAAGGATCTCCAATCACCTTTCAAGGTTGGAAAACGCCAAAGGGTTTTCTCTGTAATTTCTAGCTATGCCTTTTGTCACTGCTATAGTACACACCGAGCACTGTCAGTGTGCTCACTGCTGCATGGCTATAAGACATATCACAACAAATTCCTTAAAGTAATTAACATTTAAGTAGTACTGGTAAATATTTGCAGGATTTAACACAAAGATGAGGGCGCAGAGTTTGCTGAATCCCACTGGAGCCTTCCCATTTATCATCAGACTCCTATTCTTCCTGCAGCAGTTGCAATCTATAGCAGTTCAGAAACATATCATCCCTAGGTAGAAAGAGTTTTTGTTTGTTTATGTAATCAACCTTTTTTATGTACAAAATATGTGGCCTCTAATGCAATCAGCCAAAACAGTATAGAACTTGACGCTGTGTTTTCAGTGTGTCAAAATATTTTACCTAGGGATTGCACAGAGATCAAATCCTGACTAAATTATCAAAACTGACCTGCAGTCTTCACTGGGTCAGAGGTCCTCTTGTCCATGTTCAGATATTCTCATCTGCTGCATAGAGTTTGGAAATCATTTTGGTGGAGATTTGAGGGTTGCATTCAGCTCTGTTAACTGGACTACCGACCATCTGTGACCTGCTGTCCAGAGCATCTGGCAGCAGCCAACTGTTGAACCACGCTCTGAGACAAAGGGGCAGCGGGCTGCAGGGATGAAGTGTCTCTATCCTACAACATATATACATACATATATATATGTATACATGTATATGTATGTATATTCTATTTTCTCATTATGCAGTTACAAAACAATTCCGGATAGAGGCAAACCTAACTGTGAGACCCCCTACATCTTCTCAGTAGGTCTTCTCAGTACACAAATCCCTCCTCAGATCAAAATCTTGAGAGTATTATATTGAAAATATATTTTATCCATGTGTTTTACTTTTTTTGCTAGTAAAATGTGTAGGCAGAAGAGAAAACAAAAGCAAAGCAAGTTGGGGAATTAAAATTTTGACTTAATCGCACGGTTTCTCAACTTTTAAGTGTGAGTATGGAAAAGCTCCTATGTTTCGTTATCCATACAGCCACATTGCATGCGGTGTTTTGAGTACTCCTCGTAATTCTGTGCCTAGAACACGGTGTGTTTCATTAGCTGATTGCCATCCTTTATATTATTCTCATGTGTGTGTAATTTATGGTGCCATATGATAGATCCACTGAAGAGCATTTCTTTCAAGTAGCTTCATTAGAAATCAGCTTTTTTGGGGCGGGGCTGGAGGGTAGAGGAGGGCTTGTTTTTGTGTATTGTTGAGTTATTTGATTTGAACGTGGGTATCAAATACACGGAAATTGTCTATCTTGTTTTTTTTTGCTTCATAGCCTCTAAGGAAAAAGACATTCATTACCAAACCTGCAGAAGGATTTTCTTTTGCACAGAAAATTGTATTAGGTGGTGACTTGCCACTGCTAAGGTGACTAAATGTGTTGAAGCTTGGGAAGTTTGCACAGGCTTGTGCTAGTGATAGTACCTGCTTTGACTACTTCATTTGCCCATTGAGAAGCTGTGTGTCCAAGCTAAGTTAATTCCTTGAAAACACCTGACCAACCTTTCTCTGCCCATAGTAGGTGCATATGCTGCATATGTGGAGAATAAAGCACACCAAATTGTGTGTAACATACAGCCACAGAGAATGAGGCAAGATCCACACACGAGTAATTAAGGACCAGTTTGCTTTTCTTTTTATTTCTCATCTTTCTGGACGAGGGTATTTCATTTAGATGTTTCTAATTAAAGCAATAGGAACTGGCTCTACCTAGCTCAATTCCAGCAAATGATCTCTAGATTAAAAAAAAAAAAATCTTAGTGAACTAGGCAAAGTCTTTGAGGTCTAAAGTTCTGCCACGATTTGCCTCTCCTGAGGACATTATTTTAAAGAGGCTGTCAATAAATCAGTAACTTAAAGGACCTTTAGTGTCTTCATTATGAGCTACAGGCATTAGTACAATACTGGAAGTGTGAGATTTAAAGAAGATTTAAAGGTTTATTAAGGGTTTTCAATTTTATACTTGTTAGGTGATACAATTAAAAAACACAGAAGATTATTCTACGGAAGAATATGGAGGAGTAAGCTAGTAGTATGAAGTGATTCCCAGTAGCAAAACAGGAGTAGTTTTTCATGTGTTATCTATTAGCACTGAAGCTATTTGGATTCCAAACATCCCTGAAAGCACTGGTGAACAGCACACGCCTTGCAAATGCCTACAGGAGTTTTGATGCAAGGATAAGTCTGATGGACAAAGCAGAAATATCAGGGTCAGTCTGAAAGAGGTTACCATGAATGGACTTTTAAATACAGCAGTTTGAATATTATGCTGTGTGTTTTCATCTCCTGTTGGTTCCTGCCCTGTGTTTTCCAGACCCAGCCCCTCTCACTCCACTGTAGGTCTACCCAGTTACTTCTGTGTGTTTTTTAATGGGATTATTTAGCATCATAGTCACCGTGTAAAGAGAGTTAACTGCTCCGATCAGACGCAGAGCTGTCATTCTCAAAATAAACGCTCACAGTTTCACATAGACGTTTGTTTATGTTAAAGGTCTTGGCATTTATTTTTCAACAGCAGGCTGCTTCCTATTCCAGTGTAAAATTCCATCAACACTATCGCTTGAGTTTGCCACAGGAACAGACCCTTGGGTGCATACCAAGCATTTTTGCCTCTATTTTTAATTCTGCCTTTGCTTCCTCTTGCTCTAGAAGATTCTGACTCTCACTGACCCGCTCCCTATCGCGATCCTTCATGGATTGCCTGGTCCAGCTTCCACCCTGTAGAGTTTCAGAACATGTGTTCAGAAATGGAAGCAAGTTTACTTGGTGAAAGAGTTTGCCTGGGAGCCTTCCCTGGCAAAGCTTGAAAGTTAATGCCAGGGAAGCTCATTTTTGTCCTTTTATTCATCTTTGAATTAATTTTTCAAAGAGCATATTGGACAGATGCACGTGTATCTACTGCTGGCTTCTCCCAGCTGGCTGAATTTGCACGTGCATGGCCTGGAAGAGGGTGAGAAACTCTGGAAAGAAGGGAGGTAACTCAGGAGAGCCCATTTTCACCTTGTCTGGTACATGGGAGTTGGGAACTTTTTTATAGCAAGGTGGGAATGCTGACAGATCTCATCCTGCAACCTGCATCTGGAAAGATCATGGGTAAAAATGAAAGGATAAAATGAAATTCAGCTTTGTGATTACAAACTTGGGAAAGGATGAGCTGTTCTGAGCTGCACTGTTCCCCAAGCTGCCTGGAGAGGCATTCTCCCTTTCTAGGATCCTGAGCTGTGTGTGTCGTTCCAGGTCGGGTGCCTTTACCAAAAAGCAGGCTAAGAGCAGGGGTATTTTTGCAAATGGCCGTGGGGAGCTCTGTGCTGTCGGTGGTGGGGAGGGCAGAGCAGCCTCGCGCTCTTGGTAGGCGCGCGCACAGCCCCGGGGCAAGGATGCTGTGGCCGAGGTGCTCACAGCCTGGGGCCCTTGGGTCCTGCTGCGTGCAGAATGATCCTCCTATGTAACTGTTTTCAGCCACACCCTGAGGGGATAGAAAAACTGGTCTGTTTGCTTTGGCAAAAATGCTTTGGGCATCCAAGACCACATACTTCAACCTAGCCCTGCCGTGGGACCCCCAGGAGAGCCGCCGGAAATTCCTGCCCTGCCACCGCACGGCCCCGCGCTCCGGCGGGTCCCTGCAGGCTGCAGTGGGCTCAGCCTGACCTGGGCCCTGCAGCAGAGTCGTCCCCTCGGCTCCCTGGCCTGTTCCCGCGAGGCTTCCTTTCAAAACATTCTTGAACCTTAGCTCCAATACATCTTTCTCATTAAGGATTCTAAATACTGTCATATTTGTAAGTAAGAAGGCATACTAAAAGCTTTTTTCTTACTTTTTATTCCATGATTATCAATATGTTAATGTACTTATTTGTGATAATTAGGTCTTCAAGTTCAGCTTGATCCCAGGTTTCATGAATGTCAGCATAGTCACATTTCTGAGATATTCCAAAGTGAGTCTATGGAGGTTGATACTGCTCCATCTTTCTAAGTTACTATGGAGTTTCAGCTTGGGATTCCTGTACAATTTCAGGAACCAGGCATTGGAACAGCTTCCTGAAATAACATATCAGACTGGGAAAACAGCTTCCGTGTCAGCTGAAAACAATAAGAAAGTGTGAATATGCTCAGTACTGAAAGCCAGGAGCATCACTTCCATATCCTTTTGCCTTCCAAAGACTGTCTCCCATATATTTCCAAGGATTTTTTTTATGGCTGGTTGATTTGCCTTTTAAGTTGCAAAAAAAGCAACAAAAATAAATCTTAACACTCAGTTTGTTTCATGATTAATTGTTCCCAAAAGTCATTCAGTAAAGTAGAATCTAATGATTACAGATCACCTTTGCTTCAGGGATTTTGTGTTGAGACAAACACATAGATTTGAGTAAACTACAGCTGTGCTAAAAAAGTAATAATTGAGAAGTGACTTGACTTCCTCGTAAAGATGAGCCAAAAGGCCCTGGTATGGCTGTCCCTACATGCTGTACGTGCTGTAGGTGTTGGGAAGACATTATATTTGAGTTGTTGCATAGTGAAAAGTGTGTCTATTAGCTCCATAGGTGACCAGGACAAATATTATCATTTATTAGCGCTGTTTACAGCTGGGTCAGTGTAGTGTTTACTCATGCTGATTACATCCTTAAACTAAACCTCTTATCTGTCCGGTGCCCTGATTGCGTGGAGCCCGTGCGCTGCC